GAAGTTTTACAATTTTTTTTTTTTTAATTACAACTTTTTGTTTCTTTTTACATTTGGTTTAAATTTTTTTAAGTTTAAAATTAAACACTAAACTATTAGTAGACCTCTTCAGGAATATTTAAAAACATACACTAAACGCCTGTATTTAAGCCACACTAGCGGCTCTTTCGAAGACACGAACCTCTAAGGTTTTGTCGGATTTACGAAAGGACGCAGGCGACGTTGTGAAATATTTACACAAGGCGTGACAAAGTTTTTGGCTCACGGTTTTAGCCGCCGTAGTACCAATGAATGCGATAGCGTCAGGCGCCTGTAGAGGACGGGTAGAGAGGAGAGAACTATGAATTCCTTGCACGGCTGAAAATGCCGGCTGATATCATAGTTAGTTATGCTGATATGGAGTGACGGTGGTAGAACTCTCCAGTAACAATATGGCGGATTTTACAAAAGAAATTATCTCAACTCTGAAAGTTCCAAGGCTGCTGATTTCTGTTGCAGCATGTTGAGCTGGTAAATTATGTGCACATAATGTACATATTAAGACGCTAACAAAAGAAATCTCTTCCAGACATTTTGCCTGTTTCCTCACTCTATCAAAAAAACTCTTCCTTCGGTAACCTAACCAAGAAACAATTCAGTTTGTCTCCTCTCTCTTTTAGCCCGACATCTGTCTCAAAATTATCTTTAGTGTTTCAACTTTTCTAATCAGATTGATTTGAGAATTCCACTTTTTATCACATCGATTTACATTAAACTTTGTTTAATTCTTTAATGATATTCTTCAGGGATTTTGCGTTTAGTCATTAAGACATTATTTCGTGATCTTAGTCTTCATATTCCTTAGTAAAAGTGCCCATAGTGTCAAAACTTTTTTTTTTCGCTCATCCAATTCTACATTTCACCTAATGAGCTTCTGCGAAAGAATTTTTCGATTTGGATAAAACGTAATATTTTTACGAATCTTTACAAAGTTGAAAATTCTATTTTCTTGCAGTCGACCCCTGCCACTGATCACAAGAATAACGAGCTCAAAATGGCCACGAGAGTGATGCCTGTGACGTAGTTCAGGAACCGACGATAAAGACTGATGTTGTTTTCTGGATCATTAACGTTGTTACAAAGAGCGGCAACGCACCTTTCGGGAATTTTCAACTAAATGTACTCAACTCTAAAGCGAAATTTCCACTTGTTTTCAAGTCAGATAAATCATGACCCAAATCACGTGTTCCTGAACCTACGTCACGACTCACTTCAAAACGAGGAAGACTAGTGCGAATGGTGGACCAAAATGGCGGCAAATTTGAACGTCTTTAAAACCTTATAAAAAAAATTGCATTTTATCGAAACGAAAAATTTTTTCACAGAAGTTCATTAGGTGAAATGTAAAATTAGATGAGCGAAAATTATGGGCACTTTAACTCCACAGTGATAGAATCCAGGCAACGAAGTTATTTCCACAGACAAGCTTCTTTTAGGAAATGGTCAAATTCCTTACTTTAATTTGTAAATATATTTAAGTTGTAGTGCTAACATGGTATAAGATATATAAACAAACAATAGTCAATTATAGATATACGTCCAGTACCTTTGTTATTTGATTCTGCATATGTTAATCAATAAGTAATGAATATCAATAACCCTTTTCAACTTTTCTCATTTGCATGCGAGACAGTTTCGTGCCGAAACTACAAAATGTCCAAAATTGCCTTGCTTACAAGTTGGATTATACTTAAAAATTGTTATTATTGGGACAGTCTATAAGTACCTTGTAAGTTTTAACGTCTATTTTAAACTATGAATAAGGACCCCTTATTATTATAACAGCAATTATTTTTCACTTTGTTACTCAAAATAATGTAATGTTCGATGGGATTAGTACAACTAAGTTATACATATACATGTATGTTCAGTTATATTTACCGCAGCGCTAGAGTTATTCAAAGGGCCAGTACCATGAAAGTGCTTCTGTCAACTTTTCCGTGCGACAACAGGCACCAGGAGTCAAAAGAAAAGCGCTGGAATTATTGTTGATTAATTTGTTCATGATGCAAAAATAGATTTCAAGTAGCAACAAATTAACTTAAACGAAATTCAAGTTGAGGATGAAACTAACTCTTATCCCACCAAAATTTCTTTCCTGATTAAATTCGCATCCCACGAAGTTATTAGTTTTCTGACAGATTCCACCGGAAACCAATTAATTTTCAATCTAAATACAATTTTCAAACCGTACAATGACTTGCGCACTATCACGCTACACTGGGGCCCAATGTCACCTTAGTGCAGTACTAATTTAATTACATTACGTACAATACAACGTTTAGCAATGACTTATCCAACATATTTTAATGTTCAGCCCATAGAGAGGTTTTTAACTGACTGTGGTAAAACGAGAACCAAGGCAATCGCTCTGACCAATCAAAAAGGACACAGACATTCGACTGAAGCAATATTGAACTCGAATACGAACTTGAGAAAGGATGTGCGAGCGAGGCTTAGCTAGGATTGCTTGAGAATGTGACGCTAGGCTTTTAAACCAATCACTAAGCGTAGCGAGGCAAAGTCAAAGCAAATTAATGTGAATTATCTTGGGAATTTAGGATATAAACCTCTGGGTTAGTAAATTAAAGCATTCTTTCTGAATGCATGATATAGTTATAACCTGTCGGCGTAAATATTGTTTTATTGTTTAAATGTGCCACAAGTCCGGATGGAGCGTAATGATGTCATCTCTAAAGGTGTTTCTGTTGGGAAATCAAAACATGCCACTTAACCATGGTTCATTTTAAACATTAACTTGCCGTTAGTGTTAAACGTATAAGAAATAAGGCGAAGAATAACTTCTCTTCTTATAAATTTTTTCAGGCTGTTAATTACGACTGAAGAGCCTACTTGTAGAGATTTGGATGGAAATGAGGGTGGATAAACTCAGGATTGAATTGACTAAATTAGAAGTACAATCTCCAAACTCGATAGTTGAGACATTTGTTCCATCCAGACATGAATGCAATAAATCTGTAAAGATATGTTTGTTTTAGAAAAACTCATGTACACGTTTCAGAATGTTAAACTAAATAAAATTCCTTTAAATGT